GTTTTGCGAGATCCCGAGTTTGTTTTGCGAGATCTCGCAAAACTTTTGCGAGATCCCGAGTTAGTTTTGCGAGATCTCGCAAAAGTCCGTCTTAATTTTTTTTTCTCCCATGTCCCCTGCGGGGCTCCGTAGTTTTCATGGATGCCTGGATGTTAAACTTTATTGTTACACCTGGTAAAGCAGCAACGCTGATGATTTTATTAAAGATGAAAGAAACAGTTTTTAACTCTCAGTGATGCCGCAGTGTTAGTTGACTTTGGGACCTGAAGCTGACGGAGCAGTGTTGTCAAATCCCCAGTACTAAAAATCGCTAGAAGTCCCTAAATGACGTCATCGCTAAATTTGCATAATTGGTCATGCTAATGTAATTGTAACCTACATTGTTGGAGAGAAATAACATCATGGAAGAGACATAAAGTGAGTAAAAAACATCCTAAATGTATTTAGAGTTTTAGAACTACAAATTAAATTTCTTTTAGCAATTATTGGGGTTTTTTAATGTCACAATTCCAACCCTGCTCCTTTACCCGGGCTTGGACTGGCAAAAGTGACCCGAAATAGGCACTCTGGTGGAGTTACTCTGTGTGTGTGTTTATAAGTAGTTTTAAACATTGTGATCCACAAAACAGCATCACAGTAAAAGAACTGACTTCCTTACAGTCAGTGCGGGAGCAGCGGCTTCACTGATGCCCGATTCATTTGCAGTTTGGACGCGTAGGTGTGAACGTCTCCTGCCCTGATAGCAGCTGGGGGAGGACTATCCTCCGCCCGTGAGCGCTTTGGAACGGGCGAGGTGCCCACGGCAGCACCGCTGCTTGTTGAGACTAAAAGCAATACCCGCTTTCACGTCAAAAAGTCGTCATAAATAAGTCTCCAATAACACCAGAAAAAGTCGCCAGATTTGTCGCTAGTCGCTTTTTAGAAAAAAAGTCGCTAAGGGGGTCTCTGAAAACTCGCTAAATATAGCGACAAAGTCGCTAAGTTGGCAACACTGTGACGGAGTTTAGGACCCAGATTACTCCGCGAGGCTCCTGACTACAGTAGCCGTAATGCTCCAACAATCCATCAAGCACTGCGGCTTCGTAGCAACCAAAGTCGTAGTAAAACATTTTTTGACAGGATTTCTGAGCGCTGTGTAGCACATAAAATCTGTTCAAGGTCAGTAAGCACAACCAGAATTCATACATAAGGCGCACTTAAGGATTTTAAGTGCGGAGAATACGGTACTCTAAATTACCATGATGGTATCGTTGCACTGAGCTAATGTGATTGCACTAAACTAACTGTCTTGATGCTGACGGGCGACTGCTAGCAGAGGCAGGACGGATTTAGGCGCCAAGATCAACTCAGTGGATTTAGATTGTAATACCGGAGTGGGATGGGACATCAGCACTCATTATCCTCAAAGGAGAAAAAGCCTACACAGGCTGCAAATCTATACTCAACTCTGAAATATAGATTTTTTAGATGTTTTAATGAAAGACAGGCATCAACAAGGCAACATGTTACTGTCCAAATATGATGCAATAACTGGCAACGTCCTCTACAGCACGAGCAGACTCAAACTTACCCGAGTTAAAGTCTTTTTCTGTTTAGTGCACTGGTTCATGCATTTAATCAGGAATTATTAAACAGCTCCATTATGAGGAAAGTACCAATGCTGGAAAATGAAATCTAGTGTAAATGATGGTCCTTGAGACTGGTCTGTATCACAAGTGACCTTCATGGCATTTAAGTCATGAAGCAGACAGATGGGGTCAATTTTAATGTCGAGCTGTAACTGTACAATCATTTAAATTTCTGCAACTAAGTAGTGAGATCAAAAAATGTGCTGCAAATGACCAAAGACAACAAAGGCAACTAAGTGGAAAGAGCTATTTGCGTATGCTGGGTGACTCGCAGCTCTAACAGAGCTCGTAATCATCAGCAAACTGTCCTTGATTTGTAAAAAATGAAGGTAGGCCTGGGTCCTGTGTGAAAACAATGACTGACGACGACTCCCAAAGTGAATCCACTTTCCAAAAACAGCTTTTAAAATACTCCCAAACAGTCAAATAGATTTAGAAGACTGACATATGCTTTAATCTGAAGCTTAACCCAATTCATATTTACTCATTTCACCGACTACGATCCAAAGTGAAGCTTATTAAGCTCCAAATCAAAAGTAGCCCAGAATGAGGGAGCAGGTCGTGCACAGCAGCAACATGACAGACAAAACTAAACCTACAAACAGAAAGCGGCGTGATGCAGACCGTCCTTCCTGGCAGGGTCCCATTGATTGGTTTAAAAATGTAAAAGGTTGCACGACTAACCTGCATCAGCCTCTCCAGCTGGTAGAACTTGCAGTGAAGATCTTCAAAGTTGTTCTTGTAGAGAGCTCTCAGGCCATATTCATACATGATTTTTACCAAAACACAAAAGGCCTGCTCCTCGGGCATCTGAAAGCATGTGGATAACCTCAATCAGCAAAATGACAACAGCTAAATATCCAAAATGTGTTCCTGCTGACACAAAAGGCCAGAGCAGCTCCCTCAAGACTCAAACATGGCCGTCAGCTAACAGTGGAGGGAAACAGTGCAGCTGTGGAAGCGACTAAAACAAGTTTCATGTGTGAAGACGAGGAGCAGGAGAAAACGCTTAACGCTCGTCTCTCAGTGTGTGCACGGCTTCTCTCCTTCACGTGCACGCTCTCACAGACTGTGAGCTGATATTTAATCAGAGTGACAGTATGTGTTTGGGACTGAATGGGCTCCTGCAGGTAAACCTGAGCCTCTATTAATATTCCTGACATCTCCTCTATAACCTCTCCCTCCTCCTCCTCCTGTGTAACCCCTCTTTCTTACACTGCTGCTGTCCCCTTTATCTTTACAGCCTCCTCCTCCTCTATAACTTTTTCCTTGTGTCCTCCTTCTGCAGCCAGCTCCTCACCTTCATATCCCTTCAACAAACGTGCAGCTCTTGTGCACATCTCTCCGTCCTCATCCCTACTCCTCTCTCCCACAACATCTCACGCCTCTTTAACCTTTGTTGCCTTGGCCTTTTGGCTTTTGCCCAACGTTCCCCGGTTTTTTTCCCCATGTGTCAACTCCACTGTTTGTCCTTCATGTGTCCTCTAAAAACTTGCTCACATCAAATTTGAGGTAATATTTGTGCAAAGTGACTTTACACACAGCATGCAGGTACTATAAACGTGGATTTGTGACCTTGAACGTGTGTGAAAGGAATCGATTCTCTCACTCGTCTTCATCCACATCATCTCCTTCAGTGTGTTATATTACCCTGCTGCTTTATTAGACTTTGTACAAGCCAGGAAACTGTTTGTAGAGACAGTAAAGTCTCGGTGCAGGAGCGCGCTGCTCGTGTTAACCTTGATCATTTGTTTGAGTGCCATCTGCAGATGTCGGAGAATCAAGGTTACATTTAAGCAGCGACAGAAAGCTTTTATTCTGAAAGCCAGGGAGAAACACTGGAGGCAAATCCTTTTGCAAATGCACGAGTCTGTGTAAAAGTCATAAATGAATATGCATGAGGACAAGCATGTGTTTAGCAAACAGCGCTAACTGGTGTGTTGGATCATCTGATGTACAGTGAACAGCTGATGGATGAGACGTTTACTTACATGTAAGAGGAGAACAGCAGCGAGGAACGACTGACCCTGGCAGTAACCGATTTCCTCATCGTAGACCGAGTAGGCCTGCAGGAAAACAGCGAATGACAAAAGACAGAAACCAGCTCCATTAGGTTCCTCCCATCAGCAGCATGAGTATCTGAACCAGTTTGCTTAAAAGGCAAAATGCAACAGCGTAGTGTTAAAACCTTTATTAAGATCATTTCTTGTGCTGTGCTGCAGCCTGCTGCTTGCATTAACCATAAAACAACTTCATCAGCCACAGTTGAACAAGCCCAGTGTGTTATGGAGCAGCTTACATTGTTCTGAGCCACCAGCGTCAGTCTGGTGCTACATCACCTTCCAGCATTCAGATTCAGTGTTTTCAGAGTGCGATGCAACTTCACTGTTCTGACTTTGTGCAGCTCTTTCTGGAGCTTTAACATCTACCACGTTTTCTTGCATCTAAAAGAAAAAATCTAATATTTACCTGTGAAAACTCGTTAGCTGGCAGAGCAAAAATCTGCATTGTTGAGGCCACGTTTAACAGTAGCGCAGTGCCATTAACCTTTGATGCGAGTATGTGGTTTGTGCTGTGTAACGTGACGATCAGCCACGGTGAGAAGGCATTAACAGAACAACTAGCTGTTTGTTTTAAATAAAAGCTGACTTATTTTGGACCCACCCAGGTGTTAATCAGACACACTGGAAACTGATAAGAGTATATCATCTTTGCAATCGACTGGACGCCGTGATGAGGGTTTCTGTGATACTGCTGGATGGTTAAGACTTTATTTATATTCAGGCTTAAAAACAAAAATCCGTGTTTCCTTTTATTATCCAGGTAAATCAGGCAAACCTAATAAGATCTGCTGACAACTGCTATCTATTACCAAACTTTGCAAGCTCACAGCGATGGAACCCACAAACTGGACAACAGAAAACTGGAAAAATGCTGGCTGGTCTTCAGATGATAGCGTCACAATTTAGAGTGAAAACATGAAAGACTGGATCCATCCTGATTTGTATCAACGGTTCAGGCTGGTGATGGCGTGGGGTGTATTTTCTT